AACATGCCACATAGCTAAAGGCTAAAATAGCTTTTCAAAGAAAAGGCCAACAAAAACACTGATAGAGAAGAAACTGGGAAGTAACGTCAGCATTTACAGGAAATTTGGAAACACTTTTGGTCCATTCCCTTGCTGGGTGGACCAGAGGACCATGGGCTCAAGTGTGTGGAGATGCAATATGTGTAAGCCTGTGCACATTGACGGTTTGAACACTGGTCATGGGCTTGTTTGAAGGGGGACTAGCTTTGTTTAATGTCCAGCCTAAACCCAAATACCACACTCAGCATGTGGCAGCAGGCCATTAAAACCAATAAAGTTATATGCAGCTGACTGATGAATGAAAAGACGTCTGTATTTGACCCACTTTAAGTATCACTTTAATCTAGATACATCTTCCCTGTCTGCATACAATAATTGACCAGCAGAATGGGGAGGGGTTAGACAGTAAAAGCTCTTAAATAACATTTTTTTCTCTTTTAAACAAAAAATAAGCTATAATTTCTACACCAGTCCTTTAGCTGATGGAAATACAAGAAGTTAAAACGCTCACTGAAAACACCACTTAGCTTTGAAGTCAGTACAGTACAACAGAAAGCACAACACAGTTATTGCTAGAATGCTTAAAGAGACAGTTATTTAAATGTAATTAGCCTTTGTGAGTTTGAAGTAGCACATTTTCTTCAAGTTTTTATCCACTTTAGTAATTAAAATAACTTGGTGGCTCAACATTTTTGTAAGCTCCTCTACCTACTTAACAAGCTTTAAAGGGAACTCACAAACTTCTTATGCAAATGCAGTGGCAGTTTATAGGACAGTTATGCTGAATCTTATTTATGGCAAACTACTGATGGATTTATTTTTCCAGTGATGATTTCCTTTCCCAGTTTTTTTTTTTTCTAGGCAAGAGCTAAATGTTAAAACTAAACTGCTGCATGAAGACAACTATGAAAGCAATGCTTAGCAACCAGACAATACAGATCCCTACTGTGGTGTGCTTGGTTGTGGCTTTAAAATGGGAGAAGAGCAATTTGGGAGACTGCACCCACAATGAAATAGGGACCAGAAATTAGCATGTTGTCCTCAAACAGATTTTGCATTTGGGCTTTGACATAAAACGTATCAGAGGTTTTGTCCCTTAACATAGGGTTGGGATTACCACCTTTGGGAGCACTAATCTCTCTTCTGAGGCGGGGGGACAGGGAAAAAAAAAAGAGGCATTTAAACATAAAAGACTATCTTTTGGTTGGAAATAGTAAAGATAAATGAAAGAATGGTAGCAGAGAATGAAAGCATTGAGAGCATAGTCTGTGAAGAATATTTTCTGCATCATTAACACAGGACACTTAAAATCTAAACCATCCCCTATTAGCAGGTTGCTAAAAACACTGAAATTGGAAGTGGGAGAATGACTGAAGTTTAAAAGCACTATAATTTTTTCATTGCTAATCAAATTTTATTTCTTTGCATTAGGATACTGCCAGTGGTATAACAAAATACTTAGTTATACTGGAGAACAAAATACACTCTTGGCTAGGTATTATTCACCATCTGTATGTTTTTATTCAGTTCTAATCCAGAGATTAAATTAATACCCTAGAGATTTTAATTTGCTCCAACAACTTATTTTTTTCCCAGCCTCTTTCCATGGGATGTTCAGTTTTTGCTCAGAAGCTCCTGAGTTTTAAATAAGTGTACATATCCATTTAGCAGTTAAAGAGAAGCAATACGGGATGTCACAGCCACAGGGATAAATATGAGTGTTTTCAGATTTGTAACCACCTCTGAAGCAGCATTCCTTTGTCTGAGCTTAAACAAACAGTCTAAATAAAATCACATAAATATAGAAGCCCTTAAGGAAGGTATTACATCGACTCACACTCTGTTGGTTTCTATCTGCAGACCTTCAAAATAAAAGAGCAAACAATTACATGGTTGCCTCACGGAAGATGCTCAGTGAAGTGGTATACACACCCCCTCTCCCTTCCTGCAGTTAGGCACTTTTGGAACCTCCACCATTTGTCTTCATACTTTCAGACAGAATAAAACAATTTTTAACTTTGATCAGTGGGTTAGAACAGAATTTTGGTTTCATCCTTCAGCAGGGCAGTAATTGCAGTGGAACTCCACGTACAGCTACATTTTGTGTTACTGAAATTTGGCCAGAGAACTGACAACACAGATAACTACCCTGCTGGCTCCAGCCTCCCTAGCTGAGTCTGTTCAGATAGGACTTACCCTAAACCAAAACAACAACAAAAAATTATGGGAATGTATTTTAATGTATTATGGAACAAATGGGTATCACAGTGAATACAGGCTAATTCACATTCTATAGGCACATTATAGCTATCCTACAGGTCAGCATTCCCCAAAATAAATTTTGCACAAATCCTTCTTTTCTGTAAGATCTCCATCCTGGAACCAAGAATGATGCATCATGAAAAGTCATGTTTCTTCCTTTGGGAGTCAGGACTTCCCACTAATGAATAAAATATTCTGCTTTAAAAAAATTCCCTGACCAATTTTCCTTATTCCCCTTTAACTTTTATGTGATGCAGTTGTTTGCCTCAAGGACAGTAAACTGACCCATTCAAGAAAGATGATACTCCCAAATGCCTGGATGAACATGGACTACCTTCCTTCTGGTACACCAACTTCAGTGTGCAGCATATTACTTCATATAGACTTGAGCAGCAGTCTTCAAGCACAGTAACAGAGCACTGGAACAGGCTTCATTTGCAGCATCATCTACAAAGCCACTCTTCAGGTTCTTATACAGGGCATTACAACCAGACATTTGCCTGCACCTCTTCAAAGAACAGTGGCACAGCATCATTCTTCTGACAATTACATGCAGCTGCATAATTGTATAAATAAGAAAAGGCTTAAAGGAAAGCAGTGCAAAACCTGATAGAATTTAGAGGTTGCCTTAAGGCTTTGAAATCTGAGAGAACAGTCATAAGTGCTTTCTTTCCAATACCAGAAGATAACGTGCAGACTGGAGTCTGTCCAAGTCTAGACATGTGAGGGAGTACAGGTAGACAGGACATTTTCTTTGGTGAAGGAAAATGTATTATCTACACTGTCAGGTCTCTGCTGATCTTACTTACAAGCTGAGCTGCTGGAAAATGAACATCAGTATTTCCAGGATCTCGTTTCCAGACTCCTCAGCTACTTCCTTTGAGCCTGTATTCTCCACATGGGGAAGGAGGATGGGCAGGCATTAAGAAAGGTCCAAACAAACTTTTCAAGTTATATGTAAGGAAGAAGTTCTTTACTGTGAGGGTGGTGAGGCACTGGAACAGGTTGCCCACAGAAGTGGTGAATGCTCCATCCCTGGCAGTGTTCAAGGCCGGGTTGGACTGAGCCTTGGGCAACATGGTCTAGTGCGAGGTGTCCCTACCCATGGCAGGGGGGTTGGAACTAGATGATCTTAAGGTCCTTTCCAACCCAAACCATTCTGTGATTCTATGAACAAGACTGAAATGCACTGAAGTCCAGTCTCATTCTGCCATATCACATCTTCTGTCCCCCAGTGACTTGCCTCCTCAGGCATCACCCTCACAGTGCTAGCTGGCTGGACTGCAGCAGTCAGAGAACTGCACCTTCACCTCAGATTTGTTGTATTCTTTGTAGAACATTTTAGTCTCTGTTGAAGAAGAGTGTCATATAAAAACTTCAGGGGATTATATATCATACCATAATCATTCTTCCTAGCCTTTGCTGCATCAAGCACAAAAAAGACAACAGAAAAAGCAAGTGGTTGTAGTGCTCTAGAAATAAACACATTTTATCTAGAACTCCCTTTGGCTTACCTAGAATCCACACAGTGACCTGAAATCTTCCATAATGAAGCTGTGATTACAAGGCCTTTGACAAAAGAACCTTTTCTGAGGAAGCACCTCTAAGATGACAGATGCATGTAAGAGTACTGAAACAGAGGGATCTACAGCAAAGTACCTTAATTCAGGATCATATGAAACAGCATTCTCAACAAATGAATGCTGCAAAACAGTCAGAAGAATAGGCTTTAATCCCATCCAGAGAGAAAACTAAGTAGCAGCAGGTAAAGCTAGGGAGACCATTTAAACTGCTATCCATGTGGTACCTGTTTTCCAGTATAAATTGTTTTGGTAAGTTGTAAGAATTTGCAATACAAAGCCTCAGCCTAGCAAGTTTCTTTTAATTTTTAAATGTACAGCATTTTAGTTCTACAAATGTAAAAAAAGAAAAAAAAACCCAAACCAAAACCAAAGAACCCCAAACCTTTACAATGTTTTTTTTTTTCTCCCACTTATAATGATCAAAACCAACCTGATTCAATAAAATTTGGTATGCAGTTAATGTGGCCCAACTGCTTTTGATAATGCAAATAAAATAGCAGAGACATTCAGCTTTGAGACACAGCATATGCAGTAACTGCCTTCTGTGACAGGCACCACCACACGCACTGCAGATGGGTGTTTACAAGTGCTGCTGTAGGTTACCAGTTAAGCACACACGGAACCTAGTGCACATCCAAATGAGACACTGTCACGTGTCAGTCTACGGTGCCAGTTTCTGTTGCTAGAGGGAAAGTTCTGTTTTGAAAGTACTACCCTCCAAAAATTACTAGGTGCAAGGCAAGGTTGTGACTCAAATTACAAGCAAACAAGGAAACTTAAAAGTAGAGACTTAAACTTTGAAATCATACCAACCTGTTGTGCCAGGTTTCTTGTCATAATCATAACTTTAGTTTAAGCTCCCATTAATATAGTTGCACTAACACACTGTGGCACAAGTAACAAAATGTACCCACATTACTTTTGAATTTCCTTGACCCTGCCAGGTTTTCACATCCTCCATGTTACTAAATAGTAGTTATTTATATGTAATTGACACCCATTGTACAGTTACTCCATAGCTTTACAATACTGCCCATACTATATCACAAGCATTACAAATCCTATAAAAAAGCAGCCCCTGTAGTGGCATACAAGAATAAATTAACCAAAAAAAAATTTAGTATTACCATTTATTGGTGACAAACACTACGTTTTACTTACATTCCATGGGGAGAAAAAATTCCAGCGTAAACAATGAACTGAAGCAGTACTTAACTTGCAAGGCTATCGTGCTTTACCTGGACCATATGCAAAAACTTTATTGCGCACAGTTCAGTGCGCAATAACACAACATCAAAAGCAACACAGTTTATATATAAACATAGGTAATTTTTTTCAGCCCTACATGGAGATGTAATTAAACAGTATAAAGCACTCAAGGAAAATCAATCTGCGGTTTTATATGCACTACACTGAGATCATATCCTGTAATGTAGTGAGCTGTGCGCCATCTATACACACAATCTTTAAAACATAGATCAGAGATCATTTAAAGTCACGTTGCATTCAAGTTCCCTAACCCCCCCGCCCCCGCTCAAGAAAACTAGAAATTAACCAAAAATGATCAAAGTTTAAAATTCCTAAAGTGTTTTAATTCATTCAACCGCTGGATAATTAAGCTAAATGCGAAAATCCTGGACTTTTTAAAATGGTGGGCACACAATTTGTTTCCAGTGAAACTTCGCTATTTCAATAAAAACAAAATAACCACATATATGGATATGATCTTCCCAAGTTAGTTCACAGATAACATGTCAGTCTCAGAAGACAAAGTTTCTAAACTGTGCTATTGTTCTAGATACAATTAAGAAACTTTTAAATGAAAAATTTATAGTGTCATTTCAATCAAAACAACATAATGAAACTAAAAATTTATCACTGAAGAAAAAGCAACGGTTATGATTTAGACACTACAGTAGGTTGTAAAGACTGTAGCACTCTAAAACAGTTAGGTTACATTAATAGGAAGCATTTGATTTTCTCTGGTGCTTTCAGGTTTGGGTCCAGTCAAAAGCCATTTTTAGGCAGTGCTGTCCAGTGTTTGTCCCAAAGTGTTTGAGTTAGCCGGTTTGAGAAGAGGGTCACTTTCCATTTCTTGTTTCACACATCTACAAATGAGAAAACACCTGTTACTTAGGAGATAAAACACTATTGCCATGAATAAGGTGCTTCTAAATCACATACAAAGAATCAGAGGGGCATCTAACAATTTGTTTCTACGTAACTTCCTTCCATTTTTAATCAATTAGCACCTTGTTAATTCCACCATTTTGACAGTTTATTATCTAAATGGGAGGTTAGCTTTTTCTTTCCCCATGGTCAAAGGGAGTAATTTGCAACCCCTCCATGTTTCTGCTGAAAGCAAGCTGTGAAACCAATAAGTTTGTTTGCATGTTGCATACAGATTTCTAGAAAGAGCAGCTGTATCATTTAAACACACTGAGGAGTCATACTATTTACAAATACACATAAATGAATAGTTGAAGAGAGGGATCACAGTCAGAACTGCTCTGTGTCACAGCCATCACATATTAACCACTTGCTCCTGCTTAGTAATTTGCATTTGACAGATGAAAATGACAAGCTTGATCATAAAACCTACCCTCTGATCCTTCTGAAGAAGGTAACAGCCTTTGGCATTTTAACTTTTCTGTCAAAGGAAAAAAACCCCTCACATTTTATTTGTTTCTAGAACACCACAAGGTTAGAGGCTTCCGTTAATGCAAGGGAAAGTCAATGGGTCACACTCACACAGACATTGGTCCATTTCCCGTTCTTGGCATCTCTGTGGTTTGTTGGTCCAACTCAGACAGCAATTTTAAAATATTCAGTGCAGCCTAAAGAAAAGAGAGAGCACTCAGCAACGCAACCTGAGCCCTTCCTGTTAACTCAGTGAAAGGACCAGGACTCACTTAAAGTAAATACTCTAATTTTGGCAATATATTTCCTAAGATGCGTAATTATGGTGGGCAAAAAGCAATCTTTCTATATTAAACAACCTAATGGTGCTGTGGCTAGGGCGTTCCTTTGTGTTTGTTTTAGCAACAGGAAAAATTAATTACTATTACTTATATAGAATTACTACTAACATCATAAATTAAGTACTATTAACATAAAGGAAAAAGACGCTAGCTTAGTAATAGCTCAAAAAATGTACAGAGCTTAAGATAAAGGACATTAAAATACATAAAACCAAAAAGTTCTTTGCAGAAGAAGAATACAAGTTACACAAGAATCAAAACTACAAAACTAATAGGGCACGTGTGACTGCGTAAAAGAGTCAATGTGACGTGGCTACTGCAAAAGTCAGTCACCTCCTTTGAGAACTGAAAAGTTTTGTCACCTTTATTCAGATCAATTTCAGGTTTCCCTTTTCAGAATACGCCTGATGCATTATGACATGGGCATTAGCAAAAGCTGAGTCTCTGAACAGAGGCAGTTCTCACACTTACAGGAGCTCTTTACAGTGGGATGTAGAGATGGGTGGGAAAATGCCAACATTAAGTGACAAAGATCAAAGAAATTTGTATAAACTATAGCCATCAGAAAACTGCTGCAATTTTTTTTTAGTATAAATTCGGCAAACCCAAGTTCTCCTAAGTGCATTTACATATTGGAAACTACTACTTTAGTCCACAGTCAGTACAGTCAGGGCACCACTGGATACCAAAAAGAAAAGAAACTCTGCTACTGTTAACAAAAGATGTTATTTATAAAGGGGGCTTAACAGATGTGGAGCGTCTCCTGCTATCTAATGGTGAACTGCATTTCTTCCATTTTGGATTCTGACAAAGTCTGGTAACATGAACCCAGGTGTTACAGTGCCCAGTGAAATATTATCCCATTTTGTTACAGAAAAGAATCTGATAAGCTCTTCCTTTTCATACCTTTTCTTTAACATGTGCTCATGCAAATAATATCAAGATAAAGCAAATGCATTTTTAATAGACAAAAATTGTGAGCATATGTTAAGCATTTTAAAGGTTATTTAGATTTGGTTCGGATACTGTTAATCAGTTGTCTCAGCAACCTGTGAAATATTAGACAAAAATTAGCCAGGGAATTGTACAGCATTTAATTCACTGCTGTGCAGCAGTAACAGGAAACCTTGGTCTATCCGCTGCATCCCTCAGTTCACACTGAAGGGCAAAGAAAAGCATTTCAGCAATATTCATCATACCATGTCGTGGCAAGATTCTACATCCTTTCCAATCCCATGGCTGATCAGTGGTGGCTGAGAGGAACAGTTTATAAGAGATACAAACTCGTTCTTGTTATTTTTTGGAAAGTCTTTATATTCAACCTGAAAAAAAGAGAAGGATTTAGCTCTTTTAAATGAACCATGTACAGGAAATATACCACGACTGCTACAGATTATTTACCCCCCCTATATGAAGCTGAACCTTACTTTTAATCATCCTGTCAGCCTAACTAATCATTTTGCCAGCCTAAACTTTTAAGTTTGTCTTCACCTGCAACGTTTTTTTAGTAATCATGAGAGCTTTGCAAGTCTTCTGATTACAAGTAGCTACTTAATAACGATTGTTCCTGGGACCTTTTCTCTTATTATAGCCACCTACATTTAAAGGTTTCCCTATTATACCTTTTAACCCACTGAGCTCATTTAACATATCTAACGTATTCATTCTTCCAAGACCTCAGAGTAGCACTGAATTCAGGCTAAGGATGCAGTACAGAAGCGCACATTTGAAAACTATGTAAGAAAGCTGTAAAATTCAGTACATTTCATAGGTAAAGTAAAACATCTACATGAATTCCAGCTTCACAGGCAGCCAGCAGAACTAAAAAGCTTTAGAACAAGCAACAGGTTGGACTAGTTTGGGTAGCTTTGGAAGAAATCTTGCAAAGCCAAACATTTACCTGGATTCCTTGAACATTGGAAAGATAGTCCAGCTGCTCAGAGGGCCGAGTAAGTGGTCCGTGGGGTACGTGGCCTGATGAGTTGTTGTTCTTTAGTATGGTCTCAGCGGTAGGAGAAGTGCCACCATACAACAGCTCTCTAGCAATCATGGCTGTTACTGTAGCCTTGGCAGGATTTGGGGCTGCCCTGTTGAACTCTTTGGTGTGGTGTCCTTGATTGGCTCCTACAGCTTGTGCGACCTCAGGGACCATGGGAAGAATTCCAGCAGGAAGCTGCTGATGGCTGAGATAAGGCATCCTAAACTCATCTTCTTTATTACCTGAGAAGAGAGAGACGCACACTAACCATTTCTGTGAGGCCTTATGCAGCCACACCAGGGGCATAGATAGGCATCAAAAGCCACTTCTGAAAAAAACAATGTTTCTCATTACTTTTGAAACACTAACAAACTTAGTGAGCTTGATCCGCCTTTGGTGTGTCAGAGATTCAGCATCAAGGCAGAGTTTGCTTACTGAATAAATAATTCAACTCCTGCTTCTGCCAAATATTCTTCTGAGCCAGAGGCGGATCTCACCTCCTCCTCTTACCTCCTTCCCCCCGTAGAAATTTCCCCCTCTCAACTCCTGCTGTTGGTTGAAGGAGCCTGGTCCCTGGATCAGAACCAAGCGCAGTTCTGAACATTAGTTCTTGTACACCTCTGCTCATTGCAGCGTGTTAAATGACACTATTGATGGGACTGAGAACCGTATCTTACACAAACACATGCCAACAGGGCTGTGCTTAAGCTAGTTTACTTACTAGTTGAAGTCTCTTCAGAGCCTGGCTCAAAGAAGGTTACTTTTCTTCCATCACCTGGTTTCTTCACTGGTGTCTTTAAAATAAAAAGAAAAAAGCCAAACACACAATATCCTTTTAAAACTTTATCCCTCCACCCCAGGTTTTAAAGTTTTCAAGACGCAGGTGATCTGACTAGTCAGAATTTTACTGAAAAATTTATTACTCAAAGCCCTCAATTATTACACAGCTACTAAGGAGAGACAAGTTCAGTGATTCTTACCGACTGAATGACAAAAACTATCTACAGAACAGTGAAGTGGTATTAAGAACACATAATGAGAACTAGATACCATAATAAAGCCAGCTAAACTAACATTAGTTATTGGAATTGCTGAGGACAACATAGTGGACACAAATGAGCATATACACAAAAAAGGATATAACTAAACCCAGACTTGCTATTTTAACTGCCCGGTAAGATCTGCTGAATCAACAGATTCACACAAGGTTCTTTCCCCCATAAGGGCCCACCAAAGGAAGAGATCTGTAACAAACTTCCAACTGCAATTGCTGCTGAGCCTATATAAAACCTATTGCTACCACGAAGTCCTATAACCTACATGTCTGCAGGTTTCTGAGACCAATACAACTATTACCTGAGGTTCTGAGCCATTCTATAAAGAAGAAATATGTTAATTTAGCCTTCTTTGGTTTACTTGCAAAATCAAACCCTTAATGTATCCAAAACACACTACTTTAGAGAACAGTCACCTCGATACAACTGCTTTCTGGCTAGGGGAGGAGGCATGAATTTACAACACTGTTGCTGCCTTGCTGTTGTTTCAACTTTTGCTGTAGTATTAAACAGCAGCTGATTCTTAAAGACTCTTACCTTCTCTTCTGTCTTTAATGCTGGCTTTGGAGGCTGAGGTTGTGGGATTTTGAAACCTAAAATTTCCAACATGTTTTCAGCTGCATTGCGTTTAGCAACTTTTTTGTTCGTGCCCATTCCTTCAGCTGTGTGTACTCCAACTTTCACCTAGGCAGAGGAAGAAAAACCAAATAGATTCTTAAACAGTAGTGTAAGGATTCACTTATTAGTGGTCTGTGTCTCAAGCACTCCATGAGTCACAAAATAGTTCAAGTTACCATTATCCTAAGCAAGTTGTCATTTATTATTAATGATCATTGGCCTCCACACACAAAACCCCAAACAGAAGTCACACAAACCACTGTATTTCATCATCTCACCTTGGCAACAGCTTAAAGGCTCAAAACTGGTAAGACAGCAGATATAAATTTTCCAAGCTGAAGTTAGAGGTTTAAAAGATTTACTAATGTAATGGAAAGAAATAAACTGTCTTGGCCAGGATAGGCGAGAGGTCCAGAGAATGCACTTAATTATTAGAGGCTAGTAGGTACTCAGTATTAAAACCACTGCTATGCTATTGGGACTTGCAGTACTATGTGCAGAAAGCACTGCACACACAGAACTCAGTGGAAGGAGGAAATGAGGGATACTCAGGTTCATGTTAATAAATAGTACATTACAAAATGTAAGAAGCTCAGTATCTCTTCACAGACTATTAATACTCCTGTTAATAAAAACATTAGGCAGTTACAACATAGACTTCTGGTGCCCTATGCCATTTTTTTCAAAACCGTGACTCAGATCATCTTTCTTGAACCTTTATCCTCCTTGAGTGTAGCCCACTAGATATTTTCTTAATGAATTTCACAGGAATTTGGCTCTAATCATGTTAACTTTGTATATCATTGTGACAACCTGATTACCATAAGCAAAAACCCAAGACATCACAGCCATGCAACTAGATTTCTCAAATCAACATACAAACCTGCATCACAAACTCTCTGCGCCTTGGAAGACCACGTTCTGTGATGAGCATGTACTCTGGTTCCTTCTCTTTCTTGGCCTGCTGTATCTGGGCAAGTCTGCTAATGGGATTCATTCCTTGACCATATTCTGGACTTGTTTGCAGCTATGTAGAACAATGTTTAGGAAATAAGCCAAAAATTCATGAATATTTGGTTTAATAGACAAAATGCAGCATACCACTAAATTCATTCATCTATAGAATATAAAACCCCTGCAGTAATAGTTGCTTAATGAAACACTGTCACAGCCAAAGAGAAACACTCAATTTATTTGGCTCTGCTGTCACAGCTGACCACATTTAACCTACCACTGGTAACAGTTTTACAAGTCCTAATCCTGCTATTTTAGGAGGGACAGGGTTATGGGAGAATTTGCACAGGCAATACCATGCAAAACCCGAAGCTGTAAAGTCTAAGGCTTGAAAGTCAGAGCTTGATTTTTTTGTGCCACTCATTCTTTTATAAGGTTTCTCTTTCACCCTCAATTTACTGATAACTGTTGTAAAGGTGGTGTCAGAACCCCATTTAGAGTGGGAGCAAAAGATCATTTCATTTGTAGTATCAGACTGCTGATTAACACTGAGCAGTTGAAGAGTGTTTATAATTAATTCAGAAATGCCTCTCATCTGCTGATTATTTATAACAGGCAAATTTCCAACCTGTTTATCTCTTACCTTCACTATTGATTTTGTTTTCTTTTTGATTCGTGGCTTCATTTTCTCAACCGTAGGAAGGGGTGGCAATTTTTTCAGTTCTTCTAAGACTGCTATGGCAGCATTTTTCTTCGAAATCTTCTTGCTCTTTCCTTCACCTTCTCCCATGAATTCTCCAACCGACACCTTGGTTACAAAGCTCTTCATATGGGGAGGACCACTTTCCTTGGTCACCTGTTTCAGAGGGAAAAACTGAGTGAAAGCGTGATAAACACTTATTAAAAATGGTAGGGTACATTGTTTATAGCAAACTTTTCTCAAGAACTACAGATAATGACATTTCAGATTCTCATACAATCCATGAAGTAGACATGTAAATCATACTCGTTCTAATAACATAATCCCACCCAAATAAACAGATTCTTAAAAAAGATCAGATGCAGCAAGCAGTAAACAGTATTTACATGTAAGTCATTAACCCATCTCATTTAATTTACTCCTTCAGTATTAAGATATGACTGTTCTATCTCATCAGCATGTACTTTCACACAGTTAACATCACCTCATTAAATACACCATCTTGTGGTAATAGAACATTACAGAGAATGCAATTCTTTAGGATCCAGCATTTTAGTTCAGAAACCAAACTCAGAAGACATCTAAGAGATAGATGCCTACTACAGATTTAGTCTTTTAAGCCCATTCATAACAACCCATCATACTTCAAAATAATCATAAAGTCAAAAAGCAAAAATCAATTAAGAAATCAATTAAAAATCTTCCACCCACAACTGGCTTTGTGTGACAGTATATTTTTACCAGTGATGCTCAATCTAATCTGCAATAATTGAAAGCTTCATGTAAAATTTCATAGAACGGTTTTAGAAGCAATTTAGTTACACACAATTACGTTTTCTTACTATAATAATTCAAATAGTTGACTTAAATGTTATTCTGCCAGCTCAGGAAAGCAGCATAATAAATTAATATTTTAGTGAAACAAAGATGCTCCTATGGAAGCTACTGATTTAAGATAACTAAAATGATCAGGGAGGGTCAAAGAGGCAGCAAGCAGCCAGGCCAAAGGGAAAGGAAAGATGCACATGAGGTCACCTCATGGCAAGAAAAGAAACCTATTTGTGAGATTCTGCATCTTGTGGGTAGTCCATATCAGTGCTTAATTAAGCAAATACTTCCATAAATGTCTTTTAGAGTGAGCTATCCTCATTTGCCTCAAGTCTGCACTTCAATGTTCTAATCATTAATGTTAGGTTCTGTTTTGTTTCCCCACTGTAATACTGATTTTTCAAAAAGCCTGGAAAAAAGATTGCACAGACAACCACAGCGTAGCTGTTCACTCATGGCATGGTTTTACGGCATGAATTTGTGAACAGGTGAGTTTTGCTTTTTTCTTCACTTTACCGTATAAACCCCAAGACAATCAGTGTGACTGTCAAAGGTAAAAGTGTATGCACAACTAACAAGACATGTTAAAAGTCAGTTGTTTGGGTTATCTAGAAGAGACTCAACTTAATGTGTACCCTTAATATTCTAACAAAAACAAATCTAGAGCTTGTAAAATAAACATACCTCAAAATTCACAGGCAAGTTCCTTTTAAGTGCAATCTCAAAAACTTGGCTTATTTCAGATTTATTGAGATTTTCATCATCTGGTTCTTTTCCGTTAACCTAAAAGAAGCATACTCTATTTAAAATAAAGATCCTATTAAATTGAATTTTATCCATCCAACCAGTTTACTGAGCTGTCAAAAATTTTAAGTAGTCTAACCTTTACTGCCATTTTACGTGAATGTGTAGAAATGCAGCACACATACTATGGAATTGAAACTTAGGAAGCTCATTTAAGGTGTATGTGTTAAAGCTAGCAAACCTTCATATTTTCATGTGCTCATTACAGGAAAGAACAAATGGCATAAGGGCCAATATAAAAATCTATTTATAGAAAAAACAAACTGAAGTGTTAAATTAACTGATTTCCAAATGGAAGTACCTTTATGAAATGCAATTTTTCATATACTGATTGGACATTTGTACCAAAAGCACTAAGACAGTATCAGATAAGAGAAAGGGCAGGAAAAACAAAGAATTCTGAGAATGGGACCAATGTGAACAAAGGATGGCTAATCAGATCCTGGCATAGTCCTGTCTTTAATATGCTCCCTTGCAAGTGCTTCATCTACAGACTTTTTCTCATCTGAAGAACATACTATCAGGAACTTGCCTTCATTCAAATGGCGTGTGTCTCTGAAACTTACACGTGCAAGGAGGACAGCAGTGCCAGCTGAAGCTGACCTACAGGCACTTCTGTGTATCTCCGGGTAAAATTTTGATTGTGATCCCAAAAATGTCTTCACTGATGTTGGGATCAACATGAACTAAGAGGCATGGTAACAGCAACAGAGAAATTTTAAGACTAAGTGTCCAGCAGTGATATTGGAAAGATTATAATAAAGATTAACAGCTACAACTTCACCAATTATATCATGCCACAACACTAGTTATGCAACCAGGTAACAAAAATGATTTAAATATTTTATTTCTAGCAGCAGAAATATGCCAGAGAGCTCTCATTGATTGAAACTAGTTTTGATGGTATCAAGGATCCCCAGTGTCTGCTACTAACAAGTTAGATTAAAACATGAAGGACTTTCTCTTTTTTCCACCACTTGAAGCAGCCTCTTCCCATCTCAGGAGGAAATACGAGTAAAATCAATCTGTGGTTTTCACTCCTCCCACTGTCCTATCAGATTTTACACAGTACTTATGGGTTGACCTTGTATTTCAGGTTCGAGTTGCAACCATTTTGGAAGAGCACATATAGCCCAACGTCCTTTTACAAAGATAACATCTAATACTTCTGATCCCACTATTACATCCAGTCTCCAACCTCTACGTGGAGGTGTACTTAGGACAATCTTCAGGTGTGTGAAAACTGAGACCACACGATGGCACCACTCTCATGGGAGCAAGGTAGGTGCACTATGACTGCATAAGAAATGAGGAGGCAAAACCTACACTAGAGGAACCCTAATACCTCAGCAGAAGGAATGCAGGTAAGAATTGGGAAAACCAAGACTGAATACAGGAGTCAAAAGTCTTGAGCATCATATTCTAAAACCTATTTCAAATGCAAGTGGTAAGTTCAAAAGGAATAGCATCACACACCTAGAAAAAAATATTTCAACTACTAAGGTCTTATTATGGTCTAGGAGTTGCAGCAAGTTTACCACTAGCATCTCTAGGAATAATCTGTCACTACCCTTACTGTCAAAGCATTAGCACAATCACTTAAATTACAAATACTTTTCCCCTCCTTCTAATTTCAGATATATCCTAGTTTTTCAAGTGCCATGTTTTTTCCTTGCAAAGGACTTCTTTTATGGGATTAAATCTTTCCCATTTAATATCTTTCAAAAGAATACTAATAAATAGTATGGAATGCTTTACTTTATTATGGTATGTATTCCTGGCATATTCCAATTCTGTTCACATGGTGTAAAACACTGTACTTTTCTTCAATACCTCTACCTAAAAAGAGTAAATTGATAGCAAAATAACAATAAACAGACCTTTGCTATTTTACCAATTATTTTGGTAGAGACCTCTACTTTGAAGGCCTCTACTTGAGTTCTGGATCAGTTTATTTTATAAATCAAAACTAACTATACACACATGCTCTCCCTCTTTGTCTTTCCCTGCACACCTCAAGGCAGATGACCTATAAAGTTTGCTTTCAAAGTAGTTTACTTGTATGCATAGACTAAACTCACTAAGGACTAAATCCTAAAACCAGAGATATAAGCATTTACCAGTCTCAGCTCTTATCAAATTGTTCAAATCCATCTCTAACAAGTAAAAATAAAAAAAGTCCCAAAGGAAACAAAGTGATAGATTCAAAAACTCCCAAACAAACTGCAGAAGTAACATACTCCTTCAAGAGGGATTTGCCCTTCTAGGAACACCTTCAACATGCACTTCCTCAAAGACTGCTTCTAAGCAAATTATGAAAACCAGTGGAGTTGCTGATTAGAACTACATTGATGTCAACAAAGCAGTCAGTGTGACTGCTTTCCTCCATGTTAAGGGTAAAAAGAGCAGCTGAAATTTACCAAATAAGTTGGCAAAAAGCATAGAAACAACTCTAGTTTTAGTATTTTCAGGCAAAAGTTAGGATTTTTGTCTAAGAATTGTGCTAGAAAGCATAGCTTTCTATGCTTTCTAAGTGTTAAAATCGATGCTTTATCATCTCTGTCTTTGAATATGCAAAGTAACCCTGTTCTACAACTTTGCCAGTGCATCTTAACTCCAACAGACAAACTGAGGTTGGAAGGGTCTTTTGGAGATCTCTTACAACAGCCTCCCTCTCAAAGCAGAGCAAACTTTTAAACTAAATTGGGTTTTTCAGGCAGGGCTTTGTCCAGTTGAGAGCTAATATTACTAATTTTTTTCCTGCCACTTGCTTCTAGATTTGCAGTCTGAGGAAGCGTGGGAAAAGGTCACATTATCATAAAGTCTAATCATGTTATTCAGTGATTTCTTCTTAGAATCATAAAATCATTTAGGTTGGAAAAGACCTTTAAGATCATTGAGACCAACCATTATTAAGCACTGAGTCGCTCCTATTTTAAAACTACAAGAGTAAAATCCTGTAAATACAAAAATTTGTAAAATAAGAATAAAAGAAATAAACAGAACAAAATTACTGCCCTAAATACAAGAGTTCAAGTTTAAGCATCTTCTGTTCACACACACACAAATTGGATACAGAAAAATAAGTAGATTTAAAAGGAAAATTACTAGCAACATCAAATGACAGGTAGGAAGCATCAAGAATTATGTCTGCTTCTGAAATACTAATCTGCCTCCCCTGTACACACTCCTTATAATAGCATCTCATATGATCTGACACTACTGTATTCTTCAAGGACCTTGCCTCACTGAATGCAAGAATGAACCATGCTTGCTCTGTGGTAGACTCTTCCTTATATTATCTTCATCTTTTCTAGTGCAAAATGCTGTTACGAAATCAGCAATTCCCTCAGACATTTCTAAAACTACAATATTTGAAAGCCATTTAAGACCTGATCTATCCCAGTACAGACTGTACCCTCTGTTCAAAGGGCTGTTCTCCTTAAGCATAGCTGCAGTTCTTACTGTTCTTTTTGTAGGTAAGTCAAACAAATAGAAAAGTAACATGACAAATGCATGTTTCTCATGAAAGTAAGTGAATTCCCTGCATACGTATAGCAGTGTCAAGACAGCATTCAGTTCCCAGTGAGCTTGCAATTGGTTTCTTCATAAAGTAATTCTCCCTTCTTGCAATCTCCTGCATCATTTGCAGTAGTATTTCCCTTATGATGTTCTTACAAAAACGAGAGACTCTACAGGTTTTCTTCCTTTTCCTACTGCTTTACACCCCTTACACTGAAGGAGACATCCTACAGAAAAGGATACGTGGTCATATAAAGACAATTGCAGTGTTTGTTCTGAAGACCTCACATTACTCAACTTTAAACACAACTCTACAACTATTCAGAAAGTCATTTGTACAGAAGCATTTCTAAAAAAGTGAACAGAAGAGAATTCAGTCACATGTGATCCTATTATGTTCCTCACAATTGGACTCCTTGGCTCCAGTACATGGAACTTTGCTACCTGAAGGGAAAAAATGGCTGATAATGGTATGTTATCTTTTACAAGGGTGAATGCAAAAAGATGATGTTGTGCATCACTGGCACAGAATGATAATATTCAAGAATTTGGGGGTCCCCCTCAGGCTTGACCTCTCCTGAATGAAGGCTTCCAGCTTGTCTTTGACCACACTCCACCTAACACCAATTTTAGATCTCACTGCAGAACTCATCTCCACTCTTTCAGCTTTTATTCCCTGCATCATTCTCTTCTCCCAGTAGCATTTGTAATCCCTTGGCTCTTGGTACCCTCCATCGTTCTATAATCCATATTCCTCCAGGAGAGCTTTCTGTTACCCAAAGCAATACCACCAATGCCTCCTAAGCCTCTTCCCTGAACCATCAGATGCAGTGTTTTGGCTTAATTATCTGAGCAATACTCCCTCCCACAAACACATTTGGAAGTTCTAAACTCAGTCCCTTGGCTTTACAACCTATTTCTTTAATCCTTTTGCTCTGCCATTCCTGGTAGTTCCCACCTATCTTTTGTTCCCAGTCTGAGATCCCTTGTTGCCTTCTTGCCTAATTCTTCATGTTCTTTCTTTCTCAGCACACAGCCACACTCTATATCCATGCAAGTTCTCATGATTGTAAGTTACCAGTCTGACCTCCACTTCCTCCTCACCTCTCTGGCAGTGTCCTAGTCTCTCTTGCTTCTAGGTTCGTATTGCATGTCCCCCACCTCCTCAACACAGTCTAGATGCCAGCATGGAGTACATCAATGGGTCTCTTGCTTTTAGCTCTAACATCAAGCCCTCATAAATCAGGTATAATGGGCCCATAAGTGAAAGAATAAATACACTTTTTGTAGTAGTCTCTGTCCAAAGCAGTCAGCCAACACCTAGAGAAAGGGTGCGCACAGTCAGCCAGCCCCAGAAGCTGTAACTCGTGTGTGTACAATGAGACCTTCTGCCTAAAGCAACCTAACAAAAAAGCATGAAAAAACTCCCTGTGACAGGGTCTTGGAATGGAAAGTGCTTGACAGCCACAAATATACTGAGGGACAAAAATTTGCTGCTTATATTCATATTAAAATGTGTGAACAAATTTACTGCTTCCAGTTTCTAGAAATTCCCTCTCTTCTAGAACTTCCATGGTTCTTTCAAAAAAATCATGTAGGAATTTTGCCCAGGAAGCAAACCCATGTGTGACTTCTAGGTTGCCCATACTAGAATGCAAGCACCCCATTTACACACTTCTTCAGAAGGTTGTGATCTGTACCTGATAAGAAATTAGTTCCTATCTATGCTTCCAGTGCTCATATCTGACAGAGGTCTATAGCATTGCTGCAGAAAAATATGACAGCAAAAGAATTAACATAAATTCATTTAGAAAAACTCTAGTTTCATAGAAATTTACGTTTTTAAATCAAACTGTTTCTATTGTCACAAGTAGGTCAACATTACTACAAAGAACTAAATTTCACAACTGTCATTTTCCTCTTAATAAGGAAAAAAAATAATCTACAACAGTATCTCAGTTTATCTGAGTAGTTTATGCTTATAACTCTAAGATGAATTCCCACCTCTGGTTTCTCAGGCAAGGGCTCATTCTGCAGAACTTTCAGTGCTTTAGCAGCTGCATCATGTTTAGCAGCTTGTCTTGTTCTTCCTTTCCCGTGAAACTGCTGCCCTCCGATTGAAAGCTCAACTTGATAAAGTAAGGGCCCAACAGGAAATGGGTAAAAGTACCTGCAAAGAGAGGGATTTAAATAAGCAAATAGTTTGGCCTACAAACTAAACGGAAACATATGTGGATGAATCTCTCAGATATTAGTAACCATGACTCAGCACTGAAGCCCAAGTATTAAAAAGCCAAATTTTGACTTAAAGTCTATATAAACTTTAGGGAGAGGTTTCTGAAACAGAATATCAACATTTCTTGTTTTACAATTGTTTAACCAACTAGAACAGAGAAAGACAATGTAACCACACTTTTATAGACTTGGCAGGCCAGGAAGTTTTGAATTCTCAGTTCCTATGTCCATATAAAATTCTTTAAACTGAAGCTTTCATTTAAATAGCTTTAGAAATAGCATCAAACTGATTCCTTCACTTTTGCTTTTACACAGAAAGGAAACACAAGAAATAGTTAGCTAATATTTGGCTATTCATTTCATGTAGCTGGCTATATCTGAATGCCCTCAAAAAAGCTTCATCCTTTGGCTCAGTTCCCTTTTTCCTCCTCTTGCCCTACCCCCAAAGAAAAGAAAACAACTTAAATAAGACAAATTACAGATATTAATGGGGTGTACTTATCAGAACCTTTGGCCTCATAAGATGGCTGTGTTTCAAGCTGCACATCCCCTTAAGGGCCATTCTATTTTTAGCCACTTTTGAGAAGATAGCATCAAAGCACTCAGATGATGAGAGTGGAAATGAGGCTGCAAACACAAAAACTTAAGCAATACATACCGTGGAGGATAAGTACCACCTCTCATGGTATAGTTGTAAGTGGATCTCATCCCCGTGTAAGGATCGATGGGTTTGTACATAGGTTTCTTTCCCAGTTTCATGCAAAGTGCATTTAACTCCACTGTGGGGGTTACACTGTCTAAATAAAAAGGAATACAGAGTTGTCCAGCTGTCACAGGAACTGAAACAATCTAAACTCTAATGCTGTATCAAAGCAGGAAAAAATGAGCCCAAGTTTTGCCGCATGCAGTATCTTAAATTAATGAATTCTGAATAGAAATGCTAATGAACACAAAGAAAAAAGTCTATTTGATGCATATTAAATTAGCAGCCTGGTATTAGTTGTGATAAATCCTGATACAGAAAAGTGAATTTGCTGGAGGCTTTTTTTATTTGTTTGGCTTTAAAGTTGTGAAGCTACAAATTAATTTATTTTTACAGGGTATCTAACAATGTGATCTGCAGAACAAAAACTTCTTTCCCCCAAATTACATTGAAATTAAATTAACAGACATGCTACATACCTTCTGTGTCTGTCGTTTAGTGAGAATGATCAAATGTTTCTCTTTGTACTTTATCACCTAAGAAGGGGGTTTATGATTCTTCACTTTCAAATTGCAACTGGCCTATTCAAAAGGAAGGTATATTGCACCGAGGCTATAAACATTTCTCTCAATGCAGATATCATGTGGATGAAGAATTGGCTCCCTGGCTGTTCTCATTTGAGAAAGAACAGTCATGTAAATGGTCATTTCTTTCTATCACAGGCCTCACTGGATCAAAAATCCATGTGACCTCAAGTATAACAGCGCTTTGTTGTAGGGCAATTGCCAAAAAAAGAAAATGAAATTATGCGACAGATTCACACACAAAACAATTAATTGCTAGCTTCTAATATTTTCACTGTCGACCGTACAAAGTGTTTCTAAAGAAAGAATTTAGGTAATATCAGAACACAACTGGCACAAAAGATTAAAGGTTTGAATCTTTGCTGAACATGCTAATGCTACCCCAATAGCTTTGAATTCAAGTTACTAAGAGTAGAATCATAGAACAGTTTGGGTTGGAAAG